AGTTGTGGAGCATTATGGTATACAGTGGTATCCCCTCCCCACCTGCAGATCAGACGATTCATGAGTAGTAACACACTGATAAATCATTATCTCTGCTCACTTGTTCTCTCCTGCAGTGTGACCCATGTGACTGGTGCTGTAGCCCCAGAAATATTATATACCGGAGCTCAGCTTTTAAAAAAATATATTTATCTACCTGAAGTTAAGCTTGAATTTAGACCTCTTGGCAAGTAACTTGTTTGAGCATGTGCCAATGTTTGGTTTTGACAACCAACACCTCACCACCTGGCTTGAGTACCGGTACTGAAGTATATTTTTATTTGTATATGCTGTGTACAGTTATTAAATTAATTGGAGGAAACAAACTGTTGCTTACAGTTCTCAGCCAGGTTCCTGCTTTTATTCTCCAGACTGCTCTAACAAATGACCTCTATAAAATTATTGGTTCCTTTTGGCACCACCTTCGCTTTTCTTTTCTCCTATTTTTGTGCCCAGGATAAAATTTCTATGTAGTTCAGTCCTCCATCTCGGACTCTGTGGATTAATATTATTAATTAAAAAATTAATTTAGGAGAGCCTACATCATTCAGCAAAACCTGGTTCTGTTGGTTGGAATTAATTTCCTCTTCTATGTGCTTAGAATTTCTTCCTTTGTTGCATCTGACTTCTTGAAGCCTTTTTGTAGGCTCTTCCGGTCTACATGCTTGCATTCCAACAATAGCTACATGGTATTTTCCAGGGTGGGTGACAACAGTGGACCATAAAAAAACTGCAGAACCAGCGCATGATGCTCTTCCAAAGAAAATCTAATTTTTCTTTCATACACAACTGTACAAAAAACAGCTGATGCATTTCTGCCTTATTCAGCCTTAGTCATAGCTGATAATTGTGAACCAACACCAACCCCACTAAAATAGCACGCCACATAGGGTGGGTAGAAACACATTGGGTCACCTGTATCTAATAAACTCAACGTAATCACATAAAAAAAACAGTGGACCTTGCCTGTGTAACAGGCACTGGTAGTCTCAATTGGAAGCCTAAGCGACAAGATGATCATGACAATACAGGAAAGTAAACAGGAGTAAACAAGGCACAGGAACAGAGCATTGTCAACAGGGCGTGGAGCCGAAATGTCAAAATATGGAAAATAATTTTGACATTTCTTTAACATGTTACAGTTTATATGAGATTGTGGTGCTTGGGTTTACATGCACTTTACTATATTTGTCTGTTTTATCTACCTAAAGTAGGCCTTCTAAAGTCTCAACCAAAAGTATGCAGTTATAAGGCATCAATATTTGCTTTGTTATTGGTAATTTCATTATGAAACATGCAGTATGGCTTTTTCTCTGTTGAAGTAAATTCATCAGGAAAATAAAGGGGCTCCCATTGCTGCTGTTATGAAAACAGCACTTGCTTGTCTGTCATGTTCACTGATATTTCTGAAGTCACTTACCTGAAGCAAATATGAAGATCAAAAAAGGCCAAGGAAAGTAAGAAGCCATTATCTACCTACTTGATTTGGGTCAGTGACTCATAGTATTGAAGCCAGAAGATCACCATGACCACTAGGCAACTAGCATTTTCAGTAGAGTCCAACAATAGGAGCCGACATGTTTTATTTAAAGTGCACCTGTGAAGATAGAAATATGGGAGCTGCCATTGCTCACTTGTTTAAACGGTCCCGGTACTGGTACTGTAATCTTGATTGTGGCCTTTCTATCTATTCAGTCGCCAATATGAAAAAAGGAATAATATGGACTATTTATTTAACATTATACTGTTTTTATCAACTCCAAAAATGACAATAAGCAATATTCTTTTAAATTTAAAGTATTACTTGCAGCTTTATAAGTAGCTCTGTCTTGTGCGCTCCCTCTCCTACATTCTGCTGGTTGCTGATGTCATTTGTCCTGTGACCTGCGGCCGCTCCATTAACCCCAATCCACATTCACCAAAGTCTTCAGCAGGATAGGCATGACCAGCCTCTGATTGGAGTAGCTTGTCAATCAGAGCTGATAATGCTGATAGTCATGCCACCCGTTTCATCAACATATATCGTAGTCCTTATGAGCATGGGCAACATGAGCGAGACGGTGATGCCATGAATTCAGAAGCGGTCACATCATAAAGGGACTTACTTGCCTGCTAGAATTAATGGGAAAGCATTGTGTAATCAGTGCTGCACAATATATTATATTTTAAAAATTTACTATAGTTCTACTTTAATTACATCCAGCATTATTTTCCATGTCAGCAGCCACAGTGACCATTGGCCAGCACACTTTTTGTCCTGCTTCATAGTTCTAAACATTAACAGTTGCCTGAATGCTTTCATGGAACTGCCCTGCTCCACTCTATGATGATGTGAAATGAGAGCATAGAATACTAAGGGATGTTTTACTTCTGACCAGAGAGGAAAATCTGGCTTACTCATTTTGAAAGACTTTCTGGCATATGGGATTGTTTGTGGATAAGTAATTGATGAAAGGTTTGGTGCATGGAAAATATTAGTGAACTGAAACCCTAAATGCTATATTTTTGTAATTGTTAGAAAAAAAGATAAAAGCTAAACCATTACAATTATGGGGTTAGTGCTATTATTTTCTCCCCACTCAAAAGAAAATAATTTACAACAGTTTCCTGTAAAGCCCCCCTATCCAGCTGTGAGAAGGCCTCACAGTACTGTGACCTCCATATTGTGGATGCCTCACAGGGTGAAATATCAGAAGTCTGAAAGTCACGGTCTCTGCTTGTAATCTATTATTAAAACATTTTACTACCCAACATGAGGCCATGTGATTAGGTATGAAAATCATAGCTTTGTATATGTTAGATTTTAATTACTGTTGCTGCATCTACTACAGCCCTTAAAGAATATAATAATAATACAAATAATGTTGTTAAAAATAATATAAATTTGCATGTTTACTTTTATTATTATAGACTTTTAAGGGGCAAAATGTAGGATTTATTGTCTAGTTTCATATAAGTGAAAGCAACATAATAAAAATACTACCCAAATGCTACCCACACTAATAGGATAAATAAAACCACATCTATTGTTTGTAATTCGATATAAAACACATGTACAGGTGAAACTCGAATAATTAGAATATCGTGCAAAGTTCATTTATTTCACTAATGCAACTTAAAAGGTGAAACTAATATATGAGAGAGACTCATTACATGCAAAGCAAGATAGTTCAAGCCGCGATTTGTCATAATTGTGATGATTATGGCTTACAGCTCATGAAAACCCCAAGAACCCCAAATCCACAACCTCAAAAAAGTAGATTATTACATGCAATCAATAAAACAAGGATTGTACATAGAACAATATCGGACCTCTGAAAAGTACAAGCATGCATACATACTCAGTACTTGGTTTGGGCCCCTTTTGCAGCACTTACTGCAATTACTTTTGCACGATATTCTAATTATTCGAGTTTCACCTGTATAGCTTGCTTTTTGGCTGAATTGATCATTCCTGATTGGGAATGTAGGTTTTATTCTTTGGTCTTGTCTGACCTCTAATGGACAAATAATATATTGCTTCTCAAAAAAAGTTTATAACTGGCTTTATGCAGTGCAGAATTACGGTTTTTTTTTCATTCTGATTAATTAATACTAAAGTAAAAGTATGGAAAGGTTCTGTCTTCCCTACCTTCGCTGTGTTAATTTTGATGTGTAATTCTATTCTGAAAGTTTATTTAAACACTTCTGGCAGACAGCACAGGTAGGACCCTGACATTACTTTTCCTCACTGTGGTGAAAGCAATTCAGCTTGGTCTGAGATGTATCTGAAGAGTATACATACAGCTTCTTGCTAATGAGAATATTTCTGTGCTCTCTCCACCAATCAGCAAGCTCCATTTGTTGGATTCATAGCCCATCCCCTGTGCAATACAAGATAGCCTGATTTGTTTATAGTGCTGCCCCTCTCTCTTCCAACCGGAATACTGATGTATAGTGAATTACAAGAAGCCAGTACAAACACAGAAGCTAAAACTTTTTTTTTTTGTAGATCTACATAAATCAAGCAATGGCTAAAACACATCATTTTTTTTTTGCTGCCTGTGTCCCACTAGAGAAATTTCCCTTCACTTCCTGCCTGCAGAAACAACAGAACATGAGAATAAATCCCTCCAAAATAACCAGAATTCCAGTCCTAAAGTGGAATCTTAGTTAAAAAAAACATTGCTTTAATTGTAGACAATACTGTGATAATTGACTCTTACCTGTCTGCTTGACTCTTACCTGTCTGCTAGCAAATTTATTTAGAGTGTATGCTGAGCTGTACATGCACAGCTCAATGTACAATCTTAGTTTGCCTTGGTGCCTGGATGAATTTACCCCTGTGCGCAGAAGTTATGTCATCCCAAACTGGCCTCACAAAATAGTGGAAGACTACGAACCCAGACGGAGAAGTTAGTAGGGACGACAGATTGCAGTACTGAAATGGAGGTAAGTACCCTAGACTTTAGTTCCACTTGAAAGAGGGGCGGGTGTCCCAACTGGAGGATTTTCCCTCACTTCTTGCTCTAAAGACATCTCTAAAACAATTTCCCATCACTTTCTGTCTCAATGACAATAGTCAACCAATGGACAGCAATAAAAACATTACATGAGGTCTATCACTTCACCACTCCAAAGCTTAAAAGCGAGTTTGCCTTAACTTTCACTTTAAAAGTATTTCCACGTTTGCAGTCAAATTTGAGAAAACCCCAACTACATGTTTGTTATGTGTTTCCCTTCACACAGCATAACAAAGCAGATATTTTTTTAATATATTTTTTTTACAATGACATGACTCCCTGAACGGATTTCTGTATGCCAGCTCCTTAATGTTAACATTTAGTGTATTTATAATATGATTACAGTGTTTTTAGATGGCTTACTTTTCTAGCAGGATATAACCCCATTTCAGTAAAAAATATTTGTAATATGCTAGAATAATGGCTTGAGTTACTGACCAAGACTGTTTTCTGTTGCAGAATATGAACCAGAAGTGAAGAAGTTGCATGAGGTGCTTTCAGGAATTGAGAAGTTAATGGTGGGTCTTTTAATGCTATTGTGCATTTGTGAACAATTAATAAATTTATTCTCCTATTTGAACATTAATTTTACTGATTTACATGGCACCAACATATTCTGCCATGCGGTACACAAACCATTAAAACAGAACTCAATGCAACCAGCTAGATAGGCAATTGAAATCAATATATAACAGAATTTGTGATTCTGTTCAGGCTTGGGATTCAGGCATTTGGACATGCACAGCCAGGCAGGTGACATGGTTATTATCTGCACGATGCACCTTCCTTTGTAACCCCTCGGCCTCCAGCCTGGATGGAGAGCAAGGCAGAGCTGTGTAAATCACAGAACTGGCGGAGAAAATTACAAATTCTATGGTCGGTAAAGTCATAAACATACAGAGGGGAACTTATCAAAGCTGGAGCAGACGAATTCTGGAGCAGATACTGTATGTACTGCAACCAGTCAGCTTCTTTGTCTCATTTTCAAATCTTACCTGAGCAAACTGAAGAGAGATGTTGATTGGTTGCCATGGGCAACTGCCCCAAATTCTGTCCCAGTTTCAATAAATTCCTCAGTATATATTTTGACTGCACAGGTTTTCTAGCAAGATCAACAAGTATGTTTTGCACTTATAAAACAGATATAATGAAAAGCTTTCATTATAAGGTTTAAGGTTTGTTTAACAGACCAAAAGGGAGAAAATAGGAGAAGTTTAATGCTCAAGCTTTACATACACTTTAAGTGGGCAAGTTTTCACTGATATCCAATGAAAGGCTCACTTTTACACTGACATATAAGGAGAGACTTATTCACTGACCATCATTGGAATTGTCAATGGATCAATGGAATGATCACTGGTGTCAGAGCCACTTCTCCATGGACCGACAACGGCACTTCTCAACTGGCAGCCAATATAAGGAGAGACTTATTCACTGACCGCTAATGTAAGGAGCACTTCTCCAATGACCATCAGTGTCAGAGTTATTTCTCCATGGACCATCAGTGTAAGGGGGGTCACTTCTCCACTGGCAGCCAGTGCAAAGGGGGAATTTTCCACTGATAGCCATTGTAAGGGTGCACTTTTCCACTAACCGCCAATGTAAGGGTGCACTTTTCCACTAACTGCCAATGTAAGGGTGCACTTTTCCACTGACCGCCAATGTAAGGGGGCACTTCTCCACTGACCACCAATGTCCGGGTCACTTCTCCACTGATCATAAATGTAAGGAGACACTACAGTTTTAAGTTAAATTATTAAAAATGATTTACTGTATAGGGAAGGGAAGTGTGACATTATCCACTGTGGGTGTCAGATACCCTATGTTCCCTACATTCTTTATTCTTTTCTGTATTTACAACTTACTGATAACAACAATGTACCATGAACTGTAGCTGTAGTAGCTATAATAGTTTTCAGTAGGGGTTTCTTGAGATGAAAATTATTTCAAGGGTTCCTCCGAGGTAAAAAGGTTGAGGAAGGGTCAGTTTAAATTAAAAAAAAAAACATTTAGCCAAACAGTATATTTTTGGGGAGGAAACCAAAACAAAGCAAACACAAACTTTATGCTGGTCGTAACCTTCCTGGGAACTGACCTAGAATCTCTGTACTACAAGTATGTAGCGTTGTTACGCTATTATTATGCTATAATTAATATATTACTGCTTGGGAAATGTAAGATGTTGGAGGATGTAATAATTATTTTTAAAAGACAACTGCAGTTACGTAGCAGGTAGCACTGGCTCTGCAAAAAAAGTATTTTTAAATAAAGTCCTGGTTGATGAATAGTGAATGTGTGAATATTAGCAGCCAAGTGCCAGAGAGTGTGACATTAAACTTTTATATTGCAAAACACTCCCATTTAAATGGAGCAAAGAATTCTCAAAGATTTGCCTCCCATTTGTCACCTTCCATTTCACAAAGGCAAATATACACACATACATGGACATTGGAAATGAGCAATTTTTAAATCTATGATATACATTTCAAGAAGAACAATAGATGTATTGGACTGTAAAAATAAAGATTCTGGAAGTAATCACGTATGTAAGGTTTAATTTAGCACGCACACAGTACGTCAAAGCCAATTAAATATTTCAGTAGATGTTTGTTTACTTTCATTTCTCCTATGAAGATGCAGCTTTCAGTTTTACTGGCTTCTTGTTATTTGGATTTTCTATTTCCTCTTTTTAAATTATTAATGTCTTCATAATCACTGCATTACCATTCTTAAGATGAACAGCCATCTCTTGAGTTTTAAAGACCGAGGTTTTCTTATTATTTTATTTATTTTTTCAATTTGGAATCAAGAGCTCAGAGAAAATTCAGAATATAGTTTGCTTTATGTTAAGTGGACCTAATCATCTTCTGATGTACAGCTGCTTTTTAAATCAGTTGTATTGCTGGCTTTCTCCAGCTATAAGAAAAGCCTACAATGGGCAAATGCTCCTAGGAACTGGAACCACAATCGGCTTAAGTACATATACCTGGAGGAGCTCTGCAACAGACAGGCGTTCTTTTTTCACTTTATTTTAATTGTAAAATCTCTTTAAAAATGCATGGTGAAAGCCATAATTTTTGAGGTAATTCAGAACTGCTGGCAGGCTTATAAAACACAGATATAGTCATCACAAAGCACCTAACAGTTACTTATATTGGACTGGAAGAGGCATGTTCTTTTAGCAGAGAATCCATAATCATAATGATGGAAAGTTCTAGAGCCACATAATGGTCTGGTTCCCCCAAAGGACACTATCCTCATGGACTGTTTGTGTTCCTCCTATGGTTATGTGGGACTCCTTAGCACACTACACTACTACTGGTTTAGGGTGAATAGATTTCATTCGGATTGGTCCTGCACTATGCCAGGAGCATACATTGCAAGCGACTGAGCTAAATAAATCAGTGTTCTCTGTAAAGCAGAACAGAATATTGTATGTCTGTGCTATATAAATGATGTCTTCATAGGCACATTGTGATAACATCATATATGACACGTGTACATTGTTCATGTAGAAAATAAAGAATTCTGCTCAGAGCTGGGTTGCTTGAATCCTTTTGTAAAATAAAAATAGAGACTCCTAAACATTTTCAGTTATTGTCAGTTTAGGTTGCAGGTAGATTCTGAATACCCTACACTTGGTTTGGCTGCATCCACTGCGATTATTCTATTGTAATCACTGCTTACTTGCAGATCACAGTCAGTTATGGCTTGTGATAACATTTGTGCCTCTCATGGTTCCAAAGTCATAACTCCCCAGTAAGGTTAGTCTAAAACAAACAAAGAATTCCTATCTGTAATTGTTCTAACAATAAAAAGCGTCTCCATGCATTGTTGCTAAGAAAAACTCCTTACCACTTTCTCCATTAATGTAGGCTAGTCCCCAGACAGTTGGCATTATATGGCTATTGTACATTTTACAATTGGATAAAAAAAAAGCATTTTCCTTTTTTTTTTTTTTTTCCTTTCAGGTTTCTAACATCCAGTCAAGAACAGCTTTAGTGACATGGTCTCCTGCCAATGGCTATCCAAACGGAGAGAAATCCAGTAATGGCCTCTCTTATTCTTGTAGTTACGAGGTTGCATTATCAGACAAAGGGAGAGATGGAAAGTACAAGATTATTTACAGGTAATGCAGTCCACTGTGAAACATATGTTAGGTAACCATTATATTGGTGATGCCTTCTTTCTATAAAAGTAATAAAGAGCACACACCGTATGTATGTAAAGGCTGCGCACACTTTGAACTTCCCCTGCAGGTCATTAGCTGACAACTGCTCCTCTATAGTTTGTTTGCTGTACATAGTTTTTATTTCATACATTGTAAAGTATACTTAAATGTCATTTAGAGCTGAGCTCCATATGTCTAGCCTTAAAGTGACATTAAACCCTCAGATTTTTCAACATAAACCAATACTGTAATGTGTGCCTTACTGTAATCCATAGTTGTTTCCCTTCTCTTTGCTGCTCTTCCTTTTAAATCCTCATGTCTTCTCATGCTTGGGGAGAACATCCCTTTTTAGCTCAGGGCCTCTTCCTGTAGTGCTGGCTCAGGTTACACGCCTATGCAAACCTATACACAGACACCGTGTATCCATTCCTGAGACAAGGCAGTCTGCTGCAAAACAGAAGTTCTGCAGAGCATGAGAACAGATACAGATTTAAAAGGAAGAGCAGCAAAGAGAAGGGAAACAACCATGGATTACAGTAAGGCACACATTACAGTATTGTTTTATGTTTAAAAATCTGAGGGTTTAATGTCACTTTAAATCTCATAAAAGCTTCACTCTGTGTACTTTTTATAAACCTGTTACATGCATTAGGATTGTTTTCAAGTCCTGACTAGGCAGATGGATGTGCTTTACTATCTTACTTTGTCCGTTATATTGATGATAATGTTACGTTGTAGGACAGAAACCCATATTAGCTTCCACCTTTTTATCACTCTCTTTTGTTATGTAATTTGTCCTTGCAGTGGAGAAGAATTAGAATGTCATTTGAAAGACCTCAGGCCGGCAACAGATTACCATGTCAGGTGAGTTATAGTGTTCTGGCTTTGGGCTAGAAAAACAACAACCTATGTGTTATAAAGTGAAGTGTATGAAGCACACTAGAACTACAACCCAATAAGAACTGTTTAACTATAAAATACCAAGCTAAAATACTGTAATAAAGGAAGGGAGAATTAGGCTATATGTCTGCAGAAATCCATGTGATGAAATCCCTTCTGCACAGGTTAATGTGCTTCCCCCATGTAAGGGATCCTATGAGGATAGAAAGATGGCTGCTGCCTTTGCTGATCATCCTTTAAAGCTAAAGGAGCCAAAATGGTTATCAAGATCCCTAGATCCAATGCTATGTGGGCTGGTGATCTAAAACAAGTATATAGGATAGTTTGGATGACTTCACTGTGACTGCATGTCTGTTCAAGGTCAGTGACTATTTAGGCAGTGAAGCCCGGTTTGGGATGACACCTCCAAAAAAGAAGCAGCTTCCATATTTCTTTACAAAGAAGATAACGTTAATCATGAAAGTAGCCTTGGCAAAACTGGAACTTCTCGGTGTACTTGGTAGTAACACCCACTCACCCACTGTAGTAACAGTTTCTCACCTCCCATTCTTGGGCGTGCTTTTTTAGAAAAAAGGAGATTTAAACCATGAGCATGAAACTGTGGTAGGCACAGTACACCCAGCAGGTCCACAGTTTGTCCCAACCTCTGTTAATTGTGCTGGACAGCTTGGTTTGCATATAAATGTGGAATAATTTTTTAATGAAGGCAGTGAAATTAAAGGAGAACTATTGGGGGAATAACATGTACTCTTACAAATTTAGGCTGGTGCATGACACTGAAGCTGTCACACACTAGCTCTATAGAACGAGAGCTGGGTGATCACAAACCGTTGCTCGCTCAGCTCATGGTTCTCCCTGAAGAGATCGATGACTGTCAGTCATCACTCCCCGCAGAGATTCCCCCCCTCCCCTCTCTGTTCCTCTAGTGCTCATTAGAGGGACGGACAGGGTAGGAAGCGGGCACAGCTGGCTCTGGCTGTAGAGAGGCATAGCCAGCTGTCAACCAGGCAGCCGGTTGGATCCCAACAATATTGTCGGGATCTTTCCTGGCTGCAGCGCTACTCTATGCTGTCAGCATATAGAGGGCTGTAGCCTGCTATATTCTGACTCTGGGTCATAGGAGTACATTAGTAAATGCACTTTTGTGACCCAAAAGAGAACTAAAGGCAAAAAAAAAAGGTTGGTCTACAGTTCTCTTAAAAAAAAATTCAATCATATACTACATACTAGCATGACATGTACTAAGCACATAATGTTATCAAAATACAGTATTTTTTTAATGGGACCCAATAAACTCTGTGCCCCTCAGATAAAAGCTTCAGCATAATTTTGGAGGTTGTTTTATTATGCTATTTACTTATTCTCAAGACTAGGAAATGCCTATAAATTATATATAAACACTGAACTATATATTTTGCTAACTGCTGCTGTTATTGCAGTTACTATAACTAGTATTGTTTAATGCAAAGTCAAAACTTAGCTTTAACAGTATGTTTGGTAAGGATATATCTCCTAATGGTGTTTGTTTTTCTTAGGGTATATACAACAAACAAATCATTAAAGGGATCCTGCTCAGAACCCATTACTTTCACCACTCACAGCTGTGCACCAGAATGTCCTTTCCCACCTAAGTTGTCTCACAGAACCAAAAGCTCCCTCACACTACAGTGGAAGGTAAGGTCAATTCACCTGCAGTCCTGTCATCTATGGAATCAATCTGACCACACTCCTTACTGTAATGTTTATCCTTCTCCCAGCATGCCACTTGCAAGGTCTGGAGCAGAAACCAGATACATAACCTCTCTGTAAAATATTCCTAGTCCTTGCAAAGTGCTTACAAAAAAA